TCCACATTACAGAGATGAAGGAAAATAATGGCAAGGGAAGCAAGACCTCGCAGATGTGTCTGCGGCATTTTACGAAGAGCTGTATTCGAGCAGCCGGCCAGGGCATTCGGAGGGCGCACGCGGCGTTGTCGGCGCCAAATGCGCGCCGCCATTTACTTCGGAGGAACTGGGCGAGGCGATCCGCCAAATGAAGCTTCGCAAAGCCGCCGGCGATAATGGGGCGAGGGCTGCGACGATCAAGATTGACTCCTTGGTTTTCCGGGGCCTGCTGCCTGATGCTTTCAACGAGCTGCTGAACCCGTCCTCCGACTTGCCGGCTGTCTGGCTCAGAGCGCGCGTCGCCGTACTCTTCAAAGAAGGTGATTCTTCTTTACTTTCGAACTACCGGCCGGCTGCAATTCTGGAGATTTGTTTAAACTATTCAGTGGGATGCTATGCGGGAGGTTCTGACCCACCATCGCGAGAGAGCAGTCGGTGCGTTCCTGTTCGTTGTAGTCATGGAGGCCGTCTTCAGGAAGTTGAAGGTGTGATGGGCCAGACTGAACCACAGGCGTTCTGGAACATTCTACGGCATGGTCATCGACAGGGCTGGCGACTCCTTCACCAATCTGCGATTTGCTGATGATGCGTTGCTGGTGGCGTCATCTGCCAGAGACTCATCAAGGATGCCAGTGGATATGGAGACTGAGGCGCGCAGGTACGGCCTCCGAGTTCACATGGGCGAAACATTGATTCTGACGCACGTCGACAACAGGCCGACAACTCTACGCTGCGGGGGCCATGACGCGCGAGTACTTCAGCAAGGTCGGTCCGAGACATACTTGGAGAGTCAGTTTTCTGCCGACTCATATCACGATACAGATGTTCAATACAGAATTGGGTGTGTTTGGGCAGCATTCGCAAAACGCAAGTTCATTTTCTGCAACGGGCGCATCCGGCTTCAACACCGCATGCGGCTCTTTCAAGGCATCTGTAACGCCGCGCGTGCTGCATGGATCTGGAGCATGGACGATCACAGTAAAACAGCAGCGACATCTGCGGACGCGCAACGACGGACGCTCAGAATGATGGATGGGCTACGACGGTTTCCAGAGGAGTGCTTGGTCGACTTCATCCAGCGCTCTACTTCTGCAGTTGTGGACGCGGCGCATAAGCATGACATGCATGATTGGGCTCTTGAACTTAAAGATATCAAGCGGCAGCTCCGTGACAAGATGTTGTCGACCTCAGATGGGCGTTGGTCCACGAGGGTGCTGTGGTGGCACCCGTGGCACCATGTTCGCGCCAAGCGACGCGTTGGACGACAGTGACAACGCTGGCACTACTCTTGAGCGCACAAGTGAGCGGTGCGCGCGGCCCGGCGTCATGCTGGGGCGGACTCGTCTGCCCTACGGGCCGTCTCTCTCTCTGTCCCTCTAGCACACACGCCAAATCATGATCCGAACTTTTCAAGGGAAAAATTGTAGTATTGCGCCGATTGGGGTTTAGCCGCGCTGCTTGATTCTGGCGTCAGTTCACAGAGCTCGTCGCTGAAAGTTGGTTCACGCAACGTAGCAAGCGATGCGTCCAGTATCACTGCCGGCGTGGCTGCAGGGCGCATTTCGAATATTGCAGAAGGTGCTGGGCTGCAGAGGGGGTGGTTGAACCAGTTCTCTAGCATCGCAAGACCTCTTTCTGGGGACGCAGTTCTTGTGAGAGCTTCCCAGTCTCCAGTTGACGTCAGAAGCTCCTGGGAATTCGGCTGAGCCGAACACTCCGGGGAAACATATGGTGATCTGCTGGGCCCAGGGACCCCATTGCCCAATGGCGGCAGAGAGCCGGTGCCCTGAGAAGGCCGGCGAGGAACATGGCTGTTATCGTAGGCCAGTGTGAAGAGGATGCTCTTCCTCGCCGTCGCCGATGCATCGGCGGCGCGGCGGGACTTTCCGACCCCATCCATCTTCATTTCGATTTGGGGGGGGTCAAAAAGATCGGGGGTGGAGAGAACCCCACCGTGACACGTCGATGATGGTGAATTGTCCGTCTCCGGTCCTCGAGAGGGCGCCGCGGCCGTCGTTTTCCAGGCCTGCGCCCGCCAGTTCTGGGTTCGAGGTCGTTTTCACGAAACTCCTCCTCCTCTTCCTCCTCCTTTTCGTTTTACTCAAGGGGTTCTGTCCATCCCATAGGTCGTTTTCACT